AAGCCTTATTAAGAGGGAGACAAGATGTGCTTGGGAAGGAAACAATGCCAGGCTTTCAAAAACAAATTCTGATTTGGGGCGCCCAAGTTTAGAGACCTTTAAAGTGTGTGTGGGGGGGGGGGCGGCACGGGCTCTTCTTTGCTGGGATTCTTCTTTTGACAGTATCTACACTTAGCTGTGCCCAGCTGAAACAACCTGTGAGGGAGAATTTAGCCCACTGTTCTAATGTGGCCTAGACATGGTGGCAAAATGTCTCCTATTTCTATACTTTGGGGTCTGACAACCATTTGGTTTGCTACACTTTGCGTTCATGGAAACCGGTGTACGTTGCTTTCCTCTTACCTATTCTGAAGTTCATGTCCAAAGAAGTCCCCTGTAGGCAGCTGGAGCCATTGAAAGTTGAGCTTGTTCTATTAGATTTCATTGACTTAGTTGACTTCAAGGAATGGAAGAATAACTTATCCTCTAAATTTCTTGGCTTATATCCTGACCCTGACCCACTCCAGTCTGAAATGAGAGAGTGCAGAGTTTGGGAATGAGACAGCATACAGGAGGCAAAACTTTTGGTACAAGTGGCTTAGGGCAGGCATAGATTATAGCTTGGTCATTGTGGGCTGTGCTTGTTTGCAATATTTATTGCAGATGGGAATAATCTTGCTTTGATAAACCTACCTTAGAACTGTAAGCACTGACCACTACTGAAGGCAGGGTCCTGGCTAGATAGACCTCAGCTCCAATCCCACCTTGCAATTCTAGCAGTATCCCCATGCTTGGTGCAAGAGAGGACTGATGCTGAGAGCTTACACCTCCTTCATCCCATGCAGGAATCAAGTACAATTGCAGCCTTTTGGAGAGCCCCTCCAAAGGAGATGGAAAGCAGGTGGAGTCCTGATCTCATCCTCTCTGCATCAGACAGAGGTGGCCAAAGCCCTGGGGAGAAGATGCTGTGGATGCCACAGAGATGCACTTGTGCTCTCCTCCTGTCTTCCTGTCACAGAGCTGCACCATCCCCAACCCTAGCCTGTACTTTAAAAGCACGAGCTGAGGCGCAGTGTGTGTGTTATACAGACTGCTTCATTATAGATTATACATTGGTGCACTAATCTTTCTGAGGCAGGAGGTTTTTTCAACTGGCTTCTCTATGGCAGCACATGTAGGGCTTCTTGAGCTGTCATGTCACAGGAAGTACTGAAGGAAAACCAGGGAACCAGCTATCTAGTAATTTTATGCCACATCTCCAAAAACAGAATCTAAAATTAGGCCCACTGCATATGCAGTGTGTATTTGCCTATGCAGATTAACATTCTGCATAAACGTGCAATTTGCACCTACCCTGAAAGTGGGTGAAATGTGTTGTAGGTACAGGTTCAGAGGCGAGGCTGAAGCACCCCTGAAATACATGTCCTGTAGCCTCCTCAGCATACCAACTATTCACAGCATTAACTGAGGCCCAGTCTGCAAAGTCATTCACAGGGAGCCACCAAGATCTAATATGCTTCTACCACGTACTGGGAATAGCAGAAAATCTGCACTATTGGGGCACCACCTCTTCCCGCTGTAGTGTGAATGTGCCGTGAGGAACAGGCCCGGTACTGGGCAAGGGCATAAGTGTTTTCAGAGCCTTGAATAGCAGGTACTATATGGGTGCACCACAGGAAGATGGTGACACAAAGAAGTTGTTTAAGTCAAGTCAAACACTTCCATTAACAAAAATTATGACATTAGATAAAAGTATACCAAACAGCTTCCTTCCTTGCAGCTATCTCATTAATCTTAAATGCCAGCATAGGAGTAGCATAGTTGTAATACTAAAGCATTCCCATTTTAATTCTGATGCCATTAATAGCTTTACATGATGAGCCAAGAAAAGCAAGAAGCTTTCATGTCTTACCAGAATAATTATTCAGTCGAAACCTTCCCCAGCAGAAGTGTACACGGCACTGCTTCCTCACGTTCTCCTTCATGAGGCAGTGATACACAAAGATGAAGACCCCTGAAAGGAGAGGAGAGAAGAATTCAGGTGGTCTCCAATTGATTCACCAGCCTTCCTTTTCCTTCCTAAATATCTCGTGTGCTCCTCAGTCACAGGCATTTCCCCCTGCCTGTATTTATGTGAGTGCAGACCTGAACTGAGGGTTTTCTTCTTGATGTCTCCACCTGAACTGGCAGGTCACTGGAAAAGTCCTCTAGGTTTGGCATTGGGACAATCAGCTCATTCAGTGGGAGCCAGCTTTTTTGGCAGGTGTGACACAAATTAGCTCCACGTCCTCCTTGAGTGCCTCTCTGATCCCCTTTCCTCTGTCCAATCTGCTGCTCTGCTTTCTGCTCCCTACTCTGTACTCTCTGTCTGATCTCCTCCTCTGCTTTCTGCTTCCTGCCCTATCAGCTGCTGTGCTGCCCGTCCCCTTCCTGATATGACACATGCCACACACAGGGGCTGCCCATACAACCAGCAGCCACCTGCATGTTGGCCACCCTTGGCCTAGTCCCTGGAAAATCCCAGCATGCATTTCTGTGCCCAAACAAAATGGATCGTGCTTGCCCCTGAAATGGCACATAAATGAAAGGTGTTACAAGTTCTTCCCTAGTAGCCTATATTAGTGATATAAAGACATTCCAGATACCATCTTATTTACTCAGGGCAATGTTACTATTACAAAATCTAAGGCTGCCTATACACCCGCTTGGGAAGGTGGGCGTTTTAATGAGTGGTGCCTCAAGAGCCACTCTAATTAAAACACCGCAGTGTCATATGTATTAAGCCCCCACGCGTTTAAAAATGGCTGCAGGATGCTTTATCTAAACCTTCTTGAATGAGGTTTAGTTAAAGTGCCCCCATAGCCATTTTGAAATGCAGGGGCTTAATACACATGATGCTGCAGCAACGCCAGGTCATTTTTATTAGAACATGAAGCAGACTCAATTAATCGAGTCTGCTCTAATGTATTCTAATTAGAAGGCCAAGAAGCATGTGCATAAGCAGCCAATGGTACTAATGGTAGAAACAAAGCCATGCAACACCTTCCACTTCAATCAGATGATGCTCTGAATGTATTTACATATTACCCCCCAAAAAAATTGATACTGTGATGGCATATTTATGTCAGCCCTTCATACAGAGGTTACCTTGCAGTGTGTTACAAATGGTGAAGAGATACAGGAAACAAATCTTTACTGGTCCCCAGGCAAACAAGGCAAAGCCCCACGTTAAACCAAGCAAGACAGTTAAGCTCATGGTGCCTTTCAGGTCATGGAGAAAGCCCTGCTTCCAGTCCTTGGACCTTGTTCTTGTCTTTGATTTCATGAAATGGATTTGAACAAGAACAGCAATGAATACCACTGTGTTTATCAAAAATATGAAGCAGAAGTAGGCCACAACAGAGATGTAAAAGATGACATCATTTTGAATCCAACAGCTGCAGGAGGGAAGAAAACATACAGCATTAAAAATGAATAACTAGGTACCTCTTCTGGTATCAGCAGAGTACAAGGGTTGACTGGTTAGATTGTCTACAGATGATATTCAGTTAAGCCAGGAACAGATTCCTTCCCTTCTTCTTCCCCTTTACTCCAGCATGGTAATACAGATTCCTGTGATATGTAATTGCTTCCTTATGCAGCCGTGTCTGTAGCAAGTGCAAACACTCAACCTAGTCCTATTGCTAAGAGGGTCAGTATTCTCTTAGCTAGGGGCAGCAAAATGCAAGTAGGAGGCTTTCTAATGTAAAGATGGCAGAAAGAAGGTTAACAGACTTCCATTTTCCTTCCCTGGAAAAGAGGAAAGATTGAGGTGACCTCACTGAGGAGTCCAAAACTACAAGTGGTGTGATATGATGGATGAGATGCAACAATGAGAAGGGAAACAAACTGGGGCCTTCGACAATAGGTGGAACACCAGGCCAAATTATTCTACGTACAGGCTCCACTGAACTCATAGAACATATTGGAGCATATGAAGATGTCAAATTGGGATGCTCCAGTAGCAGAGAGTCCCCCAAAATGAAGAGGAATTGACACGTAAGGTGGCTGAATAGGGAAAAAGGGGTTGGAATGCAACAGAAGAATTAAAAGGAGGGAGGAAGTTTCTTCTAGCTTTTTTTCTCCTCTTCTGGCCTTAGCAGTCTACAGGTAAGCGAACAACAAAGAGCCTCAAACATCATACTCACAAATCAGTGAATGGGCTGTTGCTTTCAGACGGTGATATATTGACATAAAAGTCTTTTTTTATGATGAGTATGAGAGCAACCACAACAGCTGGTAGTCCTGATCACATGGGAGGCAAGAGAGATAATTAGCTGAGTTCATCTGAAGTCAGGCAGAAGGTGGGATCAATTTGCAGCTTATAATATAGACTAAATCAGAAATTCATAGCATAAGCTTTCATAAGCAATGGTTTGCTTCATCAGACACTGTGAAAGAGACATTAAATTAAAAATAAGACAATATAGAAGCAGCAACCTCTGATCTCTATGCCAATATTATTTTAGCACAGACATACATTGGGGAAGGGTGGGGGGTCAAATTATGCTGTTTTCTGCCCCTGAAGCTTTTTTGGAAATTGGTGGGATTCTGTATTTGTGATACAGCATAGTTAGCACTTTTATTTATGTAAATTGCAGATGAGTGGGAATAAAAATATCTCTGTTTGCAAAATTTTGGAGAGCTCCTGCACATCTGCAAAAGGGATCCAGTCTGCTAAATAACACCTACTGATCACTAGAAAAAGCCCAATGGTGGCAAAAGACAAATTGGCAGCAGTGCTTTGCACCACCAGCTAAAGGGGGCTGGCATTTTTCAACGGGCTTATGTTCATGTCTCCATTTCCACTCTCTTTTCTGTTTGCCACACTCCTGGCATCTCCTGCTTTTTTATCATTTTATGACGAATGATTGCTGTAGACAGCAACACTTGCACATGGCTGCCCCAAAACAGAGCTTTGTGAGGCCAATAGTCAGTGGAGTAAGTTGTATGGAAAATCAATATAGGCAACATATGACAGATGGTTTTTAAAAGAGGTCATTAAATGTAACAACTCTCCAGCCAACTCAACAGAACAACAGTCCCAGGACATTCATCCTGCTAGCGCCCACAGGGTGACCATTGTGTCCAAGAGGTAGAGACAGGCAGAGAGGCACCTTAGCCCCAGGCTCCTTTTCCTTATGCAGGTAGGGGCCAGTTACAATCTTGCTCCAACAGTGGATGTGGCTTACTCAAAAAGCCCTTGAGCACAGGCACTGACTCACAGACAGCACGGATCCATCACCCTTGAACCCTGCACTTGATGGACAGAAACTATCTGCTATTCTTCCCATGCATTCTCCCCTATCTGCTATTCTTCCCATGCAGCTGTCAGTAGGACACGCCTGGACTGCGGCATCCATCCTGAATCCTTGCAGTAGTGCCCTGTCCTGACACACTTTTGCAAACAGAACACTATCTCAAAAGCACAGCTATCCAGAGAGAAGCAGTTTACTTACCCCACCCAGCAATGCAAAATTTTAGGATGTAGTGTGGAATGTATATATTGAAGACTCTGACGAGAGCTAAGTACATGTGAACAGATTCCAAACCCATCCACGTGATGGCTACAAGCAGGAAGTAGTGAAGGAGCACAGCTACTGTGATACAAAGGCTGTGGTTATTAAATGATGACAGCCAGGAATTGACCAGGAATAGCAGGTTCAGCATCAGCAGTGCAGCACAGAGGTTGATCAGGATTTTGGAAGGATAATCTCTCTGAAGCTTGCTAAAATAGGAAGGAAAAGAGATGTGGCACCCATCCAGTGCTGTCATAGTGCAGTTGCCCTTGCAGCTGAAGCATTCTCCTATTTTTTCTCTAACACAAAGTAGTAGGAATGCATGCTCAGTAGCCTTAAAAATGGCTTCCTGTAGCATGAAGTGACTTACAGTGAAACCCATTTTTACCTGTCACTTCCCAAAGGAGAATTTCAAGGCAGTGTTTATATAGGAAAAGTCTTTTTCTGTACATTTCATTCAACACCTTTTATAGAATTGGGACTATATCATTGAGTGCACGTACTTTCAATGAAGATATCTCAGCCCCCTGAACGGATACTCTACCCATACCCAAGAGCATATGGAATGCATGTTAGGAACAGAGGACTTGCTAAGCCCCTATAAGAACAACCAGTATCAGATGCTTCAGAGGCAGCTGCAACAAACAATTCTGTAGGCAATTCTGAAATAACATATCCTGAACCTCCGTGAGTTGGAGGGTGGCTTATGTCCTGAAACATGATCATTTCAATCCAAATTATTTCACCATATTCACATATCCAAATCAAGTCTCATATCAAGTCTCATATCCAATTCAAATATCCTTCTGTCTTGTTAATCATAGTATTGATTGTACTGAAAATTCCCGCAGTGATTGTAAAGTCATTGTTGCTGATACTTTAAAAAATAATAAAGCAAAGAGGAATCAACTTACTCAAGTGCAAGGTATATCACCAATACTATCCCTAGGAAAAGGGAAGAGGCACCACATCCTGCATGGCTTATCAGAGTTAATATACGGGTATTCACAGAATCTACTCCAGTCCGGGATAAGTCCTAGATCATAATATAAAGAATTCCAGTCACTACCCTGACCAGGTCTGTGTCCGGCAAGAAAAGAAAATGACTCCATTTGCACATTGGGGAAGGAAACCAATTTTTATTCTGCGTTCTTTTAAATTGTTCTTAGCATTTTTTACAAACTGTTGACTTAAGACTATTGAAATCCTAGCAACGATGACAATATCTAGAGTTTAATATTTTGTGAAGAATTTAGAAAGGAAATATTCTTCCACTATCCCACAATTCCATCAGGATTCTGATACCACAGAAAACATTTAAGTTAAAAGGCTGATTTGCAGAAATCCTCAAACAATTGCAATCCATACTAGAAGAAGACCCAATTCTTAAAGAGATCTTTCCAGACCCACCCATCCTAGCCTTTAAACAAGCACTGAACCTTGCTAACCTCATCACCAGAAGCAAACTTCCTATGACCCAAACCACACCTAACAGATTCATACCACACCAGGACAAGAAATGTAAAACCTGCCAACACATCTCCACAACTCCCACAATAACTGCACCCCACAACAGAACCATCACCAGTCCTGGATCTTACACCTGCACCTCCAGAAATGTAATATATCTCATCCAGGACACTAAATGCCCTGATGGAAAATATGTAGGAGAAACCAAACAACTGTGCACCATAATGAACACACACCGGAAATCCATCAAAGACAAATATACCCAATTACCTGTGGGTGCACACTTCTCACAGGACAATCACTGCCTCTCTGAGCTCTCAGTTCTAATCCTCAAAGGGAACTTACAAAACACCTTTCATAGACGAGCCTATGAACTTCACTTCATCAATCTACTGGATACAAAAAATCATGGACCCAACACAGACATTGGATTTATGACACATTACATCGTGCCTGACATTTGACACACCAGGTAACTTGCCTTAAGATGACCACTTGAATTTCTTCACACTTTTCCCTCCCTTCCCTCCCATCTCTACCCTTTGTCTTCCAAACTTCCACTCCGACTTCACTGACTTCTTGCTAAGACTAGCTTCTTTTCTACCTCGGAGAACTCATAACAGCAGCAGAGTCTCCCTATGCCTAAAGAGGGGTGTTTGTGCCCAAAAGCTTTTCAAAGAACTTTTTTCCAACTATTTAGTTGGTCTAATAAAAGACATCACATCTACTCAAAGAACCTTGCCTGCCAATTTGCAGAAGAAACTCTAGCTTGTTAAAGTGGTGGTTGCTGGGAGTATGTGCTGCAGAAACGTGCTAGATATATCCATGTCTGAGAGGACACATCAAGTCAAAACTACTACCAAGCACAGGGCTCTGAAAACTATCCAACAGAATGGGCCTCCTTCCCATACAGTAGTTCCCAAAGATGTTTGTGACATGACTCTGGTTTCCTGCCATAGTCTGTTGCTATCGCTATGGCTTAATGTGACTCTGGAACCCTGTGTTTGCAGAATCCGGTACCCTCTGTGCTGTTAAACAGTTATTACACATTGCAGGAATGGCAGTGGATAAAAAATGTGGTTTTAAAATTAAGTTTAAGCCCATTGCTTTAATTAGAAACAAGATAGACCGCCTGAACTGCACAACATCCAAATCTTCCCGTCAAAGAAACATTTTTACTACCACAGATGGTTCTTGCCTCTATCTCTGTGTAGGGTACTGCTGACCTCTAGGGGACACTTAGGTTAAGCACAACTATGTGTTTAGCTTCGTGTTGCATATGCCAAAGGCAAATAATAACTCTCAAGTTACCCCTTGTGGGGTTTTTACCTCTTGGCTGGTATCCAATCCCTAGTTTATTTGGAATTTCCCAGCCGTTGTCACTTTTTGTTGCAACTCACTCCTCATTCTTCACCTGTACCTAGCCTGTTTTGATATTAAGCTTTGGGGAGCTGGGATTTTGCTAAAGAAACTAGTGCATGCTTGATGCCATATATGTAAAAGATGATAATATTGGTCTTTTCCATATTTACATTCAGATCCATTTTTAGATGGATGCTTTCAGTAATAAAACTTTCAGAGAAATATAACAGCAGTTGCCAGGTATTTGGCATTACCACCATATTTCCAATACTGAAAATTATGCAGTAACATTAGTGAAGCAAAATTGTAAAGATGTAGGGACAGCTGCTGCAAAAATGAATTTGTACTGGGTTTGAGGGTTCATTCAGGGTGTGGCTTGGTTTTGTCTGTCGTAAAATTTCTTATCTTGTTATTAATTTTTAAAGCAAGATACAGTTCTCCAACAGCTACATTAGAAATAAACCTTCTCTATTCTCTCCTAAGAATCCAATGCTGATAGTTTAGTTTTAGAATTTTTTTGCAGATGATTCACAGTACTTACCATCAGGATTCCAAAATGGGTAAGATGGTTACAATAACAGATTGTATAATTCATATCCGTGTATTTCACTTCACACCCAGATGTATTCCAACCACCTAGTCCATCTGCCCAGCACAGAAAAGAGATTTTTATCTAGAGTTAGTCATGCCCAGTCATTTATAGCTCTGCAACATGCACAATGTGTGAATATGAGCTGAAGTTAGTTCAGTATACAGGTCAGCTTACAGCACGCATGGGTGAGATTTCACACAGGAACATGCAACTTGGAAGGCTGCCTAAGATTTAAAAAAAATTCTGACTACATTTGGCAGCTGAAGAAATATTGGAAGTAATATTATATATCTATAAATACATATTTATATAATATATTCTTTATTAAAGACATTTCTAGCATTGTAGTTACAAAGAAAACCTCCCCCAAACCAACCGACATTAAACCAGTACAGTCTTGTCTTCCTGAGTCTACAGAAAACGCTAGAATTTTGTTCTTTCCTTGCAAAACCACAGATATTCAAAGCTCTAATTGTGCATTTTGGGGGAAAATAAATGATCTTCCAGAAACCCTCAATTTCTCCCTTCTTCTCCCTGCTGTTTTGGATGTGCATGCCCTTCCAGAGAGAGGTGACCAAAGGGACCCAGTGAAGACGGGCATGCAGGACCTGCTGTCCCTTCTCAGGCATGCTGGAACTGTTTAGCGTTGTCTGCACATGTATCCTAATAAAATCAATATGTTTGAGTGTGCTGACAGGGATAGGCTGCCATATTTAACCAGCAAATCGGGAAGGCTCTCTCCTGAGCCTCTCATTGATTTGAGTAGGGGAATATTCTTTTTTTAATGGGCGCTCTACCAGGAAGTGTGTGTTAATGATGCAGCTGGCCTATGTTAAAAGCAGAGGCTGAGTACAAGCAGTGATGAGCTAACCTCCAAATACTGGTCCTCATCCCCAGGAATTCTCAGAACTTTCCCATTGGGACACTGGCCAAAATGCTGTAATGGGTCAAGCAAAACCCAGATGCAGATGTCCTGAGAACCCAGTGGCCTGACCCAAAGTTTTTGGCCTCCCCTCACCCCAGCTCCAGTGTTCTTATGCCCCTTGTACTACATTTCATTCCCTACAGTGGAGCCAGTTGAGTTGCTCCTGATTCACACCCATGTAAACAAAGGCAAAATTAAGCCCACCAAGTGTGCTTAGAAAACACAAGGAAGCATCTTCCATAAAAATTGAAGCATTGGTTTAACTGGTTGTAATTCAACCCAAACACCTGTTTAATAAACTGCAGTTATAAAAAGCACCACTTTATACCAAACTCTAACAGCACCCTTTACTGAATGAGTCCAATCCAGTTGTACATCTCAGGTGAAGTTGACAGCAGCAATACTTTGCACTTCTGTTTTTATCTGAGTGTTTTATGGTGTCTTAACACATTACGGTCTCACAGCAGCACTGGTAAGAAGTACAAAACTGTCATCTCCATTTTACAGGTGACTCAACATCAGAGCAAGGACAGAACCCAAGTCTCTAGTGGCCGTCTGTCTTTATAATGCAGTGATCTCTTTAGTAGCTATCTCCTGACTCCCAGTTGCAGGTCCATCTTTCCCTTTTGGAGTTTCATTATTCATAACAGGTCACTAATACCAATTTTAAACTTGAATTACATTATTTCTACTCTTAGTAAAATTTAGCTTTACTTAAATTTATCTTTGCTTTTATTCTATGTAGTACTTACTGTTCTTCATAAAGTCCCAAAACACACAGCGCACTGTAGCATTGTCCTGAAAGAAAAGAGAAGGGTTGTTCTTTGACATTTATTGACATTGCTTTCTAGCATCTGCTGTGTAACAAGAAGGGAATTGTTAACCCCAGGTTAGATTCCAAATCCTAATCTTGGTTTGGCAGAGCTTTTAGCAGCAGGATCTGGCTCAACAATAGCCACAGCATGGCCTCCTTGAACCAAGCTTCCTCCACAGTGCCCTGCCAACTTGTCCTGAGTTCAGCTAACAATAAGAAGGGACCTCTCTCTCTATGGTTAGATACATCTTAGTCTTCACTAGGACTATGAACCATGTTACTGAGTGTCCTGGTATTTGTGCGGGTTTTGGTTGTAGCGGTGTTGGTCTAAGGACAGAGGCAGACAAGGTTCTTTGGGTAAATCTGATATCTTTTATTAGACCAAGTAAATAGTTGGAAAAATTGTTCTGTGCGAGCTTTCAGGCACAAACACCCTTCTTCACTTTGCTCTGAATTTTTCAACTATTTCGTCGGTCTAATAAAAGATATCACATCCACCCAAAAAACCTTGTCTGCCTGGTACTCGTAAGGTACTTACCTCAGGTTGGGTTTCTCAGCTATCTCTGGACTCACCAATGACTCCCCTACTTACTGGAAGACTGTCCTCCTCGTATCAAGGGACTGTTGACAACAAATTATGGGATTATGGAGACCTAGAAGGCAGGGTAGATTTGCACCTTATAGACTAACCAAAGTAGACGTGTATGCAAACTACATCTCTCTGCTTATGGACATCTGCCCACTGAAAACTGTACTATGAATACCAACAATATCTCTTGCACTGCCAAAATCCATCAGCTGGTAACAGTTTCTATCTGTCATCTATCTTGGCTAGATTAGAAAGGGCATCCTAGAGGTGAAGGATTTTTCCATCACCAGTCTCTGAGTTCACCCTGCCCTTCTTTCATTGTAGTAGCTATGTTGTTCCATAAGATTTAGTATACTGTAGCGCACTGGTGCTCAATCTTTTGGCCCTATGAGCCAGATGAGGGGTCTGGAGTTGGTCCATAGTCCAGATTGGACCCCACCTGCCACAATCAGGCCCCAGGGATCTTGTCCCACCTCCACCTGGTCCCACCCACCAGAATCAGGCCTCAGGGGCCCTGCACAACCTCCACCTGCCAGGATCAGGCCCTGGGGCCCCATGCTGCATTTACCTGGTCCTGCCCACCAGGATCAGGCCCCGGGGCCCTGTGCCATCCTGTGGCCCCATGTACTGGGATTGGGCCCAGTGTCATCCTGCACACCTGATCTAAACTACAGGGCCATGGCCTGCAGGGTTCCCCAAAGACCCATAGGCAGCCCCAGAGGCCAGATGACAGTACCAGGGGACCAGTGGCTGAGCACCTCTGCTGTAGTGCATTGTATTTCCCATGACTGTCCATCGATTACTACAGAAAGAATGAAAGAGTATTATATATTCAAACTAGACTGATTCCTGTACTTAATATCATTGGATCTGCATAGTTTTCTGCGGAGGCATAGCTAGTTACAGGCAAATCTCAAATGATTCATCTTAGTGTGCCATTCTGAGAGTGCATGCAGTTAGAAACTGGGCTGAAAAGAAAATCATGAGATGTAATATCTGCTTCAGAAAGCAGATATGTCATAAAAAGCTTTTTAAAAACTTTTTAGTATTTTGGCTAACAGGCAGTTTCAAAGGTACGCAAAAATAGAACTTAACAGCCTATTTCAAGCAGCATAACAGAATAATGGAATTTCCTAATAAATGTTGGAGTTGTTCTTATAACATATTATCCAGTTCATCCATTTGAGTCATATCATAATACTATGGTTAGTTTGCCCAAAATACAATTTATCTAGCTTGCTTGCTCGCTTGCTTCCTTTAAATATATTTGTAGGCACAAGCAGCTCCCAGACAAATATTCTACGAGATTTGAGAATCTGTGGACTGTCAAGTACAATTAGTTGGAAGGATGAGGACGCAGGTTGGCTAAGTCTCATTAAATATTTAATCAGGATGTTTTAAATGGTTGGGGGAAAATCAGAGAGCCCATGTGGCCTTTTGGATTAAGAGTAAGGGGGGAGTTTTAGACTCCATTTCTAGAGTTTTAGACTCCATTGCCAGAATTGAGCGTAAAGAGCATATTGCTTTAAATGTAAAATTTTAAAACTCAGATAAAATTTGATCATTAACCAAGTATACCTTATTAAATATTTAGGTTGAACCCTGTGCTGCAGTATATGGGTAGCCATTGCACCATAAACATGTGCAATGTAGACATCTTATGAGTGAACCCTATCTTCAAAATGGGTTTATCTGTGTTTGTGGAGATTGTTGCCTTTTTCTCCCATTGAGAGAATGCAATGATGCGTTTGTTCTTTTTTGGCAAGGAAATTTGAATTACCACAGTGAGTCACTGGAAGACAAATATTAGAGTCTGTTTTATAGATTATAAAGTATGTCATATGATCATCTTCCACTACTGCATACTAAGTCCTATTTCTGCAGGCCAGCTTCCTTATTGGGTGGAGCACTTTTGTTTCTGTAGCCGTAGCATCCCACCTCAGGGCTGAATTAAGGCTTGTTTCAAGCTGATCTGACACTAACATTTTTCAATTCCCCTCCCTACTCACACCTGCAAAGAAACCTCAAAACATTTCTTCTGGATCTAATAAAATCCATCTCACTGTGTTTTTAAGTAGCAGTACTTTTATTTTTCTTTAAATGAATTTCAGGTAAACGTAGACTGAAGCATTGTTTCAAAACAAAAAAAATCCAAATATTTTGTTTTGAAAATCTTATCAAATATTTTGATGTTTATTATTACTATTTGCCAGATATTTGCAAAATTTATTAATTAACAAATAGTTCTGGTTGACAAACCTGCATTTTACAGTGACCAGACTGTTCATCCAAAATTTTTCACCCAGGTCTACTCAAAGCAAGGAAGGAAATGAAATGCCCCTGGCAGGTACCTAGAGATGGGATAAGCAAACACATGCCTCCACAGCTTGTGTGCATTAAACAGCGAGCCTGAAACCCATGCAACATGGTTAATCTTGCTGTTGATGTGTGGCCTACAGAGATCTGTCCAGTAGGAAAGCTGTTTTTAAACTGGCAGCAAGAGAGATAAACTTATTGCAAAGATGACATTTGGAGACCTGGGATTAAATGAAAATGCCATACCACTAAATGAAAATGCCATACCACATTTTGCTTTCTATGCTCTAAAATAATATTGACTGGCTCTTTGAGGTTCTGAATGGATACGTTTTCAATGCTGGCGCTCACAACGTAAGAGTTCAACATTTCATTCTCAGAATTGCCACCCTGCAATGGAAAGATTAAAAAAAAAAGAAGAAAAAGTTCAGGTTACTCAGTTTTCTAGCAGAACAACTATTCATTGCTGATTCTGTTTTTAAAATTGTCTTTCTTGGAAGTGGCAATGAGCCAAACACACTAGGATCCTAATTTAATTCAGCTCCCTGCTATTTTATTAGAAAATGTAGTTAGTGGCAAAATCACAGAGACATACAGTCTCCCAATTAGCTGAAGCAGAATACAGGGGAAACAGCATTGAATAGGTCGGGAAAGCTGCATAACTATTTCCCTCCAGCAAGATATCTAACAGCCTGTCTATTAAACCAGTGGTCTCCAAACTTTTTTTGATTGCGCACCCCTATCAGTAAAACATTTTTGAGCGCACACCCCTAAAATATGTATTTTCTTCCCGCACCCCAATGGGTCGTCATGCGCACCCTCTGGGATGCATGCACCCCACTTTGGAGACCACTGTATTAAACTACTAGCCAGGAAGGCCTACTGCCTGTGAACTCTACAAAAGGTATGCTAGGCATGCCTCCTTGTATGTGCAGAGACATGCGCTGAGTGCTATAGCAGTCTGTCTCTTGGCTTTTTTGATGTGCTGCAAGTGCATGCCAAAACATAACGGTCTTAAAGGTTTCCTATCAGCATTGTTATTCCTTCTGCAAGCATTCATAACTCACACAAAGGGAGATCACATTTTGTCATTAACCTGGCAGACCTCAATTTCTACAGGTAGTGATCATGGAAGTGGAAAGGGCTAGTTAAACCGAACAGCATGCTCCCCACCATGGCACAGAAGTTTCTTACTGCACATTTTTTGGTGCATGGTCCCATCTAGCTGTAAATGTGCCAGTGATGTAACTTCCACTGTATAACATCTCAGCACTGGGTACTTTTCCCTGAACACTGCAGGAAAAACAGTTTATCTAAGTGCTAGGTTGCTAGTGCGAGCAAATGGCCATATTTACCACAAAGAGTGAAGTTGTGCCAAAGAAAGTAAACTGGATCTTCGGATGATCTTCTGGATCAAAAGAATGGATCCCCAAGTATTCCCTCATTAATCTTGGCAAAAACACAGAGGCCATGGCCTTTTGAAAGGGTGTTTCTTGTATATCAATCTGTCACAAAGAGATCAATCTGTCAGAGATATGTCTGCCTAAAGCTTTGTGGCTGTCACACAACCATAGAACTGCTGTTTTTTGCACTTGGGTACAGCTTACAGTCTTATTTCACATGCTTTCCTCTCACCTTTGGATCCGTGTCTTCCTTATATGAGGTAACCCCAAACGCCAGTCCTTGGAAACTGCTAGGATCTGGATGCATCACAACCAAAGCCAGGGCTGCTGTTATTATCGATGCATTCCTCCCAGGATAGGTCATTCTGTAACCTATCTGTTCAATTGTCCTTAAGACCCTTTATTGAGTACAGCAGCAAGAAAAAGAAAGACACCTTGAAAAGTTCCTACTATGAAGACATTTCCCACCCAATCAGCAGGAGATTAGTCTGGGTAAGGATTGTGGCTGAGCCCCACATGGACATATTACTGCATTAAACTGGCAAGTCTTATGACTATTTAAAAATGGAAATGGAGAAAGCTAGCTCCATTTATCAGCTGGAAGACCTGACAACAAAGTACATGCCACATATTCACTTTTCTGTTCAGCCTTGATGGAACTGGTTTGCCAGTCTGAGACTGCAGCATTGGAGAAAGGGTATTTTTTATTTGGGGAGCACATAGAAAGATGCCCTGCAATCATAGCCTGGATGAAATCTGAACTCTGCCTCCTTGAGCTGGTCTCGCTTTCTAAGACACCATTTCAAAATAACCCTGCTTCAGATATATTTCATCAGGTCCAGGTGAACTAGGATTCACAGTGGGAGTCATCAGATGGCTCAGCATTGCAAAGTCTATTCTAACGTTTCCTGAAGCATCTGGATCCAAGATTTTGGTCTGTTATCAGGGTATCATGCCAGCACTTATGGAATCATTTAGGGACAGATATTTCTGAGAACTCATCATCATCATCATTCCCTCTGGCTTTTCATCAACCATTGGAACCAGATGGACCAGTCCATGCATCACCCTTCTAGCACACCTTTTCTGCACTTTATATAACAAATGAGGCTGAATTATGGAGCATTAACACACCAGGGGGTTTCTGCCTGGAATCATTTAAAATTATTATTATCAATTTGTAATAACTAGAGTCTCCAGGTAGTAATAGGACCCTAGCACACACATGTGCTAGATGATGCTCTCTCCCAAAATTGTATAGTCCCAATGAGTAGCATTCAGTATAAACAGAATTCCTTGGGCTTCTTCACTTTTTGTACTTGAAAGCACACCCTGAAGGGCAAGGCTGGTTCTGTGCTGGTGGTAGGCACAGTGCCCACCCTGCACTTAGCGGCATGGATGACTTCTGTGGGGTGGAGAGTATTGCTAGAAGGATCACGACACCACCCTCCACTTTATATCTGGCACATTTCACAAACTATTTTGGCATCTTTTCCTTTCAGGCTTCTGCACTGAGAAAAACAATGCACCTTTGCCCACTGCAAAGAGCTCAGCAGTCCCATGCACTTTTCCCCAGCCAAAGAACAAGACATGAAAGCATCATTTTCTTTGGAAATGTTGTTACAGGCCAAATAGGATCCAAGCCTGGGAAACCTGCAAATAGCAGTAGTCTGTAAGTCAGAGGGGGCTGGAGATAAGAAAAGATGTGAATCTGGTGCTGAAGGACATGCAGGTACTAGAGGTGTTGGTTGTAGCTGTCTTGGTCTAAGGACACAAGCAGACAAGGTTATTTGGGTAAATCCGATATTCTTTATTAGACCAACTCAAATAGTTGGAAAAATTCTCTTTTGCAAGCTTTCAGGTATAAACACCCTTCTTCAGGCAGCAGAAGTGTCATGCAGGTATTAGTGCCTTTATCAGGCCAGTTTTAAAAGCTGGTGTCTGAAGTTAGGTTCCTAAGTCCAGCCACAGCCATCCAAGCAAGAAACATGATTTTCAGAGGTATTGAGCCAGCCACCTGGCCAGGACTTTTGAAACCCTCCACAAAAGGAACCCAAAATGGGCTTTCAGCACCTGTTTCTAAAAATGTTTGCTGAAACAGGCGTCATCTGCATGAACCTCAGGAGTGTATCCTGCCCACTTCACCAGGATGGCTTCTCCCTAATTTCTGGGGCTCCAAGCTGAGATTGCCAAGAATATGGCCAGTTGTAGTGACCTTTGTGAAACACATGCTGGTGACAACACTGATTAATCCTCTTTTCTCAGATCAAACCAGCTTTTAACACTTTCTCTACATCTTCTTGGAGTGTGATATCCATGGGGCAGACACAAGAGTGCATTCTCCATGTTTGTGCAACCCTTGGAAGCAGCAGCAGCTGACATGTTTAAACAAATGGTCCCTAAACTTTTTGTCCTATGTGGACATCTCCAGACACACTTTGGATCAGCCAATACAGGCCGTAAAATAATTCTGGCATGTTTTTCTCTGAACATTTGAAACCTTGAATTTCTCCTGCCTCTTAGGGTTCTCTGTGCTGCACAATATTGAGTGCCCACAAGATTAAAACCAACTGAATCAGCCACATCTTCCCATAAATATGCAAGCCTGGGGAATATTACAACATTCGAGATACAATCACCATCTCTTCTCATGTGGAAAAATCATGGAATAGCTGCATTAGGACGCAAGATTTTTTTTTAAACCAATGAAACGTATAAATCATTCCTTAGTACTTTCATTTGGCTTTGTGCAAGTGATTTTCAGGTAGTTATCTAACTTACTTGTTGGTCACTTTGTGCAAACTTTGCATATTATTTTGTTTCAGCAAAACAATTTTCAGTATTTCTAGTGTGGTCTTTGCCAGCGTCATGCTTATCTCACTACAGTTTGCAAAGTCAGCAGTTGTATCTATGATGATCTTCATTTCTTCTGCCTCCAGTTGTGTAAAGTTTACAATCAGATTTAAAATGTGCTCTGCAACATCCTGTGCATTCTCTGCAATAGGTGAAAAAACATAGGTGTGACTTATATGACAAAATCCTAGTGCAGCTCCAGTGTTCAGCTGGCATTAAACAAATGTGTGCCTCTACTGAACTGGCCTGTATAAGAACAAATGTCTAATAATTAGTTAAAGATTGAAAGATTTGAAGTTTCTAAATCAGAAGTGAATCCAGGGGGGTGCAATGGTGCAGTTGCACCTTCCCTCTTTGATTCCTGGACCACTGAAAGCATAAAACCGACTGCCTGGCAGTGGCAGCAGTATTTCTATTCAGGCAGCAGGGAGGGAGTCAATTGGCTTCATGGCTCGTTCAAATCTACCTGTTTCCCTCTAAACTCTTCATTCCACAGATGTTAATCACCTTCTCTTCCTTTTAATGGTCTTGATGTTCCACTGATTAACCTAACATTTCTTCTACAGTTCTGCTGTCCAGTAGCTGCTCCTGGTCATGTAGCTCCTGTTTGACAGCCCTGAAAACTATTTTTAACTCTACCTAAAAACATTTACTCAGGCATGAAAATGTTAGCTCAGGTGAATATTAACTCAGGTATGCAAATACCTTTCTGTGAAGTATTGGATGCCCTGTCAAGATGCTCAAGAAGGCTAGAATGTTTTTATGCATTTGAAAAAGATGTACATTAAACTCTAGTGACTACAGGACTAATAAAACAATATCTTTTGATTATCTTTTGCTTAGTTTGTTGTGCTTTTTTAATACATGATATATGATATATCAAATTAATGCACATTTCAGTAAAGATGCACTTGTTCTTCCTTCGATCTTAAACTAAATACTATAGCCCTTGGGCCCTAGCATATTAGTAAAGTTTCTAGTTTCTTTTTACATGGAGAAAAATGTGTTGTGTTACATCTGATGGTGCACCAAACCATTTGCACCCCCCTTTTCCAAATCATGGATCTGCCTATGTTTCTAATCCAGAAGTTTGGTTAAATTATGTAATAAACAACCCTAGTGCAATTAAAATCATTCCTCTAAGATTCTATTGCTAGCAGAGCTCACTTATGTATAAATTTAAATACACTAGTAAACTATATGCATACATTAACAAGGACATACACCTCAAGATAGCAGTGATCCGCTCTTTATTGCATCTGGTCTGTTTCTTTCTGAAGAACTCTGATTACCAGTGCAAAGACCTTGATTTTTTCCTTCATTCATCTTTTCATTTTGGCCCTTTGATAGCTCTTCTTCATTGAAACGATCTCATTTCAGCCATAAAGAGACATCAGATATCTCAGAGGTATGTTAAGCACATACTTCTGAGGTTTTAATTCTGTAATGGAATAGTACGTCCCCAAACGTTTGTGTTCTGTTTTGCTTCCTTCTGTTTAACCACTTTGGCCTACTCAGGGAAGTGAAATAATCAGCAGTCCCTCAAGCCAAGCATGATCTCTACGTAATTAAGAGTCCCATCATTGAGCCACAGACCCGTCTGCAGAAATTGCAGGTCTTTCCACAGGGAAGAGTAGGCTGCAGGCTTTAGGCTCCTTTTCCTTCCCCTACACTCTCTCTTCTTTGCTTCAAGGGCAAGACACTTTACTTGGAAACAGGCTGCCACTTCATTAAGGTTGCAGCACCACTGAAGTCAGTTGGTAGTCAGCTCCTCCCAGCTTTTGATGTTGGCATCTGTTTTCTTGAGGCCTGTCTTCAATGTGTCCTTGTAACATTTCTTCTGGCAGGGGTATTGTGGAGTTCACTTTTCCCAGTGCACAAATAGGCTTGGGGAGGTGAGTATGTCAGAGGCATGGCATCTGTTGTCTATGGAGCAGTTCCACAGCTGATATTCCAGTCACTGGAACTGGCTTCATTACTGGAATAGGAGCTGCCATTTAACATTTAGGGCTATTTATTTTGTATATAAACCTAGTCAACCGGCTTCATGACAAGTCCAAATAATATTTTGTTCAACAATGAGCTGGTTTGGAGTTTGCCTCTTCCCTATTCAACACTGCACAGTCCCCCAGAATAACTTGGCTGGGAGCCGCCTAGGCACCATACATAGGCGGGTGACTTTCATCCCATGTGAGCAACAAACTGGATGAGCGTGTCTGCACACAAGGTGTGTCTACACAAGCCACTAAATGCACCATAGACTAATTCTACTGCACATTAGTGTATCAGGGGAAAAGCTGTGGTAATGCACTAATGCACAGTAGAATTAGCCTACTGCGCATTAGTGTCACTAAAAGACTGTGCACTGGTGCTAACTGTGCAGTAGCACTGGTTACTGCACATTGAGTTAGGACCTGTTATTACAGGTACCAAACTTAATGTGCAGTAACTATGGCACATTAACGCATGTGTAGACATACCCACGGAGGACTCTGAGCTTAAGGATCTGAGATTTGTTCTTAATTGTCTTTCAATAATGCTGATAGTGGCTTCCAATATAGTGCTAAATGATTGCTTAAAAACGGAATGTGTCAATTAGCTGTCACTTCATCTTGCAGAGCAAATTTTCAAGGGACAGAAAATAAAGCTGTTCTAATGCAGAGTCTAAACTATGGAGGAAATGGTAAAAATTATTGATGAACATTTATTCAAACTCCAAGTGAATTTCATTTCAATCGCATTCACAAGACTTTGGCTTTGTTTCCTATGAGCATTTGCTTGCTCAAACTTTCCTGGCACAAAGACATCCTAAAAGCGCATGCTTAGCTTGGATATGCACAAAAAGCAGATTGTGGCTTTTCCATGGTGGAAATTTGCTATTCAACGTTCACATTCTGCTCCTCTTGCTGCAAATCCTCTACATCCACTGGGTTCCACATCACATCTAAAGTCAGCACAGCTCTATGTAAGCACAGAGGTCCTTCACATGGCTTAGTTTGCTGGATCAGTGCCTGGTTAGTTACATAAGCCACACAATATTGTCTCTGTTTCCTCTTCGGGTGACTGATGCAGCTATTCGTCATGGCACAATATGCAAATATCATCTAATGATATAAAATGGATCCTTTTTTGTACATTACATCAGTTAGAGCAGTGCTTCTCAAAGTGGTGGTCCATGGACCAGTGCTGGTCCGCAAGCCACTGGTTGCCAGTCCGCAGTGAGTTGCCAGGAAAGAAAGAAATATATTTTCAGAAGCATAACACCGATATGTCATAGTGCCACAGTTCGTCCGTTCCAACCCTCCAGGCGACGTCACATCGTGCAAGGTGAGGAAAGAGAAAGAAAAGGCCAGTCGCGCATTTGTGTAGCACTGTTACACGCAGTTGCTGCCACCAGCTGAACCAGGCACCGGTCCCTGGCCCACTGGAAAAAAAATTGCCAGTCTGCCACTTCAGATAGTTTGAGAGGCACTATGTTACAGCATGGTATTCCAGTGGTCTATGTAGAGTTATGCTTCACAGTCTGAATGATCCACAAATGAAAGGTAGTGTGATGTGTTAACAGACAATTTATAAACAGGATAAAAAGGCAAAATCCATCAAGTTATTCATTGTGACTTGTTTATTTAGTTCCAAAAACTGTAATATGGAGTCAAGATAAAAAACGAAGTCTCAGAATGACAGTCAGAGAAGGCTGAAGAAGGGCTGCAAAAAAAATTCATATTAAACAGAAAACACTCTACAATGAACAAGTGAGCGTGCCATGCATAAGAATAGTTACCGCTTCCATGTATCAGATACTTACACAGACAAACCATTTAAAAATGTGTTATGCAAAATTTGTTTTCCTTTGTTCCATTGTATTACTAAACTTTCTGGAACCTTACCTTCTGTTATGGTGATATATTTAAGATCCAGAATATTATTTGGAAGTTCTTTCAGTAATTTGCATACAGACAGATCTGGTCTTTTCCAACGAGCTTTCTCATGCTCAATATTGATTCTACTAAAAAAAATAAAAGCAGCAAGCATTATGTTAATTGAAAACAAATATGTGATTTTCCATGATTTTATTGGCTTGCAAATAGAGAGCTGCAAACATTTAACTGATTTATTTGTTTTCAAAAATAAATTTCAGGCCCAAGCCTTGGTGCAGTGTCCAGGTAGCATATTGCAAGCATCAGCACAAACCGCAAGGCAATTTGAAGTTTATCTAATATAGAAGGTGTTCTGTGTTTGGGGTGGTTTAATATATTATGGAGTATCTACTCTTCTCTAACGAAGCAGAAGATTGGCTTCCTAGGGTGTCCCCTTACATATGGTGCAGCGCAGGAAGAAACACATGGGGACTGAGGTCCCTTCTCCTACAGACCATGCTACTTTGGCAGTCCCCTCCTATCTTGTTCCTATTGTGTTCCCTCTTGCTGTCCATGCAAGGATCTGTGTAATCAAGGATAAAGGGAAGATGATCTTCTCACTTACCAATGCCTATTGGCCAATTGTTGAGGATTTTTTATGCAGTTGAGTTCAGTTTTGCCAGAAGCAGTAGTCAGTGGCCACAGGTAGGTCCCTTTGTATTCTGAATGTGTGGGGTTTCCTGGGCAGTTTCCTGGATCTAAGAACAACATTTTTAGAACTATTCTTTATAAAGGTTGCCTGAGCTAAAAGGAGGCTTCACTGACCCTCATTCTAAATAGGCTAGATATTCTTTTCTATTGAAACACCACTATAATTTTTGCCTCTGCTGTTGCCTTGACAGGGGAATTTTACATGTTTACTTGACAATCCTCTTTTTTTACATACTGTTTCCCCTGAGGCACTTTTCCTCTTAGTCTAATGAGTTCAGTTCTCTGGAAAGATGCTGGATTGTCAGCACAGGAAATTACATTTAATCACTGAGTACATACAGCGCCATAAGGGACACTGCAAGCTTCTTTGGTAGATCACCTGTGTGGAAGGTGAAAAAAAGTTAACTCTGTTATTGACCCCTGTAGTACTTCCCTCACTGTCTTCCCCCTACCTGGTCAATAATATTTTTCTAGCATTCCTTCATTACCCACTTAGTAGCTTTTCAACAAGGACTATATTTTCAATGCTGTACTCTGTGGTTGATTTTTTGTAATAGTCTTTTTTATTGATGAATTGTGTCAAAAAAGGTTTTGAAATTCAAGGATGTGCTGGGTGCATCTACATGAGACACTAAATGTGCATTAGACTAAGTCTACTGCTCATTAGCACATCACGCAAAAAGCATGCTGTGCTCATGCACAAGAGACAGTCTAATGTGCATTAAGTGTCACAAAAAAAATTCTTCTGCACTAATGTGTAGTAGCACTGATTACGGTGCATAAAGTTAGTACCTGTTATGACAGGTACTAAACTGAATGTGCCATAATTACAGTGCATTAATGAATGTGTAGACATTCCAACTGTTCCTCTCTTTTCTCATTACTTCTCGATATTCAGACATTGAAAAGAAGTGTATACAAGTCAATGCAAAATGTTATTAGCAAACCAGGGTATGATCTAGAACCCAGTGAACTCAACAACAGGTTTGCTGCCCACTTCAATGATCCTTACACCTGGCCTCCTGGAATCAAATATTATTTGCTGCTATAAATTTTCCAAAAGACTTTGGCAGTGCATCTACAGAGAAGTTAGGATGTAATCACAAACCTGTGACCTAGAACAAGATGACCTAGAACTCAGAGGGTGGTGGTGGATGGGTCATATTCGACCTGG